TTTTTTTTTGTCGATCCTATTTTTACTAATTTTCTTTCATATGCTAATCTAAAATTAATGCAGCTATGGTTTAACGAAACGTACAACTCAACAGATATGTGTGCATCCAGAACTCTCTTAAAAAATAAGAAAACAGCTTGAAATCCTAAAGTGTCGAAAAAATCGCGTTATTGCATTTTAAAGAGATAACTGATGTGCGCAAATGTGTTTCTTTGCAAAAGTTCCACCAAAAAGATTTGAAATATTAGCAACAAAATTTTTGAGAAATGTTTGGTAGAATCAATATGAGGCAAACATAGAGAGCGCACAAATTGCATTACCTCAGGTGCGATGTATTCCGGTGTGCCGCATGTTTCGGTCATTTTTTCCTGAGATGTTTCTGCCTGATAAGCCAGGCCAAAATCGGTGATTAGAAGCCTAGCGTCGGGTGTTGTATCGCTGTACAACAGGTTTTCCGGTTTGAGATCCCGATGTGTTACTCGAATGCTGTGTAAGTAGGCGAGACCGTTGAGGAGCATTCGAAGCGCCTGTCGAGCTTCCGCTTCCGAATATCGTCCTTTGGCCACCACTCGGTCATACATCTCACCGCCGCTTGCCATCTCCATCACAATGAATAACCGCGAGGAGGACTTAAACACCTACAAAGTTTGTTGTTTTATCTAGATTAATATTCAACTACCCCGATTTGATGGAATTGTTGAGCTGCTCTCATACAACAGTTTTAGATTCGATACTGTTATTGTTAAACCTGCACTTTCAGGCGGCAAGGAAATTTAAAGGAACATCAGAATATTAGTGCTCCCAAAACTTTAACTCGCTTTTGCAACTGAGGAACAAAACTTGGAAAGGGATTTGGAACTTTATAATCCTCAAAAATATTTTATAATTCACGGAATTTTGTATTTCTTAAAATTAAAAATAAATTTTACTTACTTGAAAAAACTTTTTAAATTAAAAATAAACTTTTTTACTTACTTCTTCAAGCCTAATAACGAATGGGTGTTGTACGCGGCTCAGAATCGACAGTTCATTATTTACAGTGCCGCAGTCGGACGATACCAGTTTCACGGCGTAATATTTGTGCGTGAGGCGATGCTGCACCCGAAGAACCTAAAACACTGGTCGGAGCTTATTTTATTACCAATCTAATACGTATCAGTAGAACTTAAATGCAAAAGAATTACGAAAGGCATCCGGACAGTCAGTGTGGATATCCTATGTTAGTGATGTTACTGGGATGCTTATATACGCTAAGTGCAGCTCGATGGTGCACTGCATAAATTCAGTTACTACCCACCGCCTCAGTGTGTTTGGTCAACACTTCGGGGGCCATCCGAGCAGTCATTTTTTTTTGTCGTGGATGCCACACCGTTTGTCGGCTAAGTGAGCACTGTCTCCCATTAATCGGTTTCACTTTTCTCGCAATCGAAGCAATAAAGTAGTTTACGAATAGAGCTGATGAATGTGGATGTATCGAATTAACAGTTTACCTGAGAAAAGGAACCCTTTCCTATGACAGCTAACACCTCGTACTTGCAAACAAGCCGAGAATCGAGGCGTAGTGCCGGCCGATCCTTAATGGAACATTCCGCTGTTCGATGACTTGCTGCTTCCTTTTGACATTCAGCCTGGTTTCCGCTCTGCAAATAAAAACAACACTAAAAGTAGGTGACAATGCTTAAGTTGCAGTACAGGTATACTGGAGCTAATTTTAGCTTTCGCTTATGAGCACAGACTAAGTATTTTTTGAGAAGCTCAACATGTGACTGC